GTTGAGTTCGGAGGCTCCCGCCCAAAACAGGACGGATCCCGAATTTGGAGAACCCCCCCTCCCCCCCAATGTATGCGTGGCTGTCTCAGACTTTAGGGCTTCCTTAGCTAGTCCGAGCTCGGTGGTTCTTGAAGCCTTAAGTGTTCGATTCGGCCATTCAAATTATCGATCCGAGAATCGCTTCCCCCCATAGATCTTGTCCTGGGACAGTTCTAAATGCGGCATTGCTAGCATTCCAGGAGTTTCCACTTCGGTCACTGTCGAAGTTGGTTTGTGCCCCCCTCTTGGGGGCAAGCACATGTTGACTTGACAGTTTTCAATTAAAACTTGAAACGGTCAATTGAAACGGTCAATCGAAGCTTGAATGTGCAGTTCAACGTTTGATATGGTTTCTTCAATTCAATTGAACATCATGTGAGCCGAGCAATCAGTTGGGGTCCGGGGTTGGAAGCGTAGTCTGGCGGAATAGTCTGCACTTAACAATGGCGTGCATTGATTCACCCAGCTTTCGGGTGCCCACGGACTGCTGCCAACCCCTTGGTAAGCACCTTAGCCTTTTGCTAGCCCTTATAAATAAGCGTGCATAGCCAGATTGGTGGAGCCAATAGACTTTGATTGTGGAACCAACCCACACCCACCCCCGCACCCGCCCGCACCCACCCATACCCACCCACACACCTACATTATTTTGTCTGTTTAAGTCAAGATTTAGCAGAGGGTCTTTCGGGTTCCTTCTGTAGGGTGGGACATACATCAATTTCTGGTACTTGACTCAGGCCGAACATTGGCCTATCTTAGTGGTTGGTGCCCGTTTGCAAATAGCTTGCAAGTGTGATTGTTTTCCCTCAGAAGGTGTAGCGGGGACCCAAACAAGAGGGTTGCTTTCCGTACTTAGCCCGGTTTTGCAGAGGCGACTGGAGTATATAATTGCATGCGCAAATCCTGGTCTCTCAGTGACTCAGTGCTTGCGATGTTGATCTTGGATCTGGCTTCGCCAATTTCACGAATTTGATATGTGCGATTTGTAAGGACCTAGGTAAACCATCCATTGACCTCCAATGCCAGGAGCCCATAACTTGAACTGACCCGGCGTTAGATATGCTGTGCCCGCCATGGTATGGAGACCGATGCACCTGGCAACCCAGTGGCAGAGTGCTCACAATCAAGCTCACAGCAGCTAGCTGCAAGAGCTCTTGCCCCTTTCGGCTTGCAACCCAATGGTGTCTTTCGTTTGCAGTAGAACCAGTGGTGACCCTTTGGGCCCTGGTCCCGAATTTGAAGACGGCGCAACATGAGCGCGCCCCAAAGGGGCCGAATCCACTTCGCCCATTGGCTTCTCTCCAGGAGTAATCTTAGTCCCGGCCATGGAGCTCTGGGGGGACTCACCTAGCCACAGCCTTGGTCATTTGTTGCTGCTGTTGCTGTTGCTGCCTATGTGTCTCTGTGTGTCTGGGCGTTTGTGCGTCTTGTGTGCTTTGCTCTTGACTTGCAAGCCAACGCGGACAAGATGCCCATTGCCTGATCTAGATCTTGGAACGGCATGTTTGCAAACCACGCATTTTGCCTTTGGGAAAATGTTGTAGCCGGCGAACCCTTCAATCACTTAGCAGTGTGCGCAGGTTTCGGCTCAGGCATGCTTCATGTCCATACCTTCACATGCATTGGTGCTGTGTGAGTCTTTGTGACTTTGGCCTGGCAGGTTTGTCGTCTCAGTCTATGACCTTCATGCACCTGCATACAAGCGCGTTGGGCCAGGTTCATATATTGTCCAATGGGTTTATCCTGAACTGCGGAATTCAACATGGGCAGTTCCCCTTGTCATTGAAAATCATCTGCAAAGGGCACCCTCAAGAAAGGCACCTTTATTTGCAGGTGTGGACACGAGGGTTGTCATGCTTGTACAATGTATATGCACAGGGCATGAAGGTTGACACCTGCACACCCACAGACACACACACACACACAGACACACACACAGACACACACACACACAGACACAGACACAGACACACACACACAGACACACACACACAGACACACACACACAGACACACACACACACACACACACAGACACACACACACAGACACACACACACAGACACACACACACAGACACACACACAGACACACACACACACACACACAGACACACACACACACACACACAGACACACACACACAGACCACACACACAGACACAGACACACACACACACACAGACACACACACAGGACACACACAGACACACACACACATCACACACACACAGACACACACACAGACACACACAGACACACACACAGACACACACACACACACAGACACACACACAGACACACACACACACAGACACACACACACAGACACACACACACAGACACACACAGACACACACACACAGATACACACACACACACAGACACACAGACACAGACACACACACAGACGCACACACACACACACACAGACGCACACACAGACACACACAGACACACAGA